CCCCAAAACCCCAAAACCCCAAAACCCCAAAACCCCAAAAAACACACATCAGATAGAATTGTATTTCTTTTCTTCATAAACATTACTCCATATATTTCACAAGAGAGTTGTCACCATATTTCTGAGTATCACTGTACATCGAGTAATCTAAGCCTCAAAATCTGCTTATGCTTAAGAACCATCAATATTCTTTATTAAAACCTTCTCTGAAGTTAGCTTCTATAAATGTCCTGGCCTCTTGTTTGTCTTCTTTAAGATCTGTGCTAATAAGAATCATTAACCCAAGGTCTCTTTAAGAGACTTGTCCTTATGTAGGGTTTTCTGGTAGAGGATTTATGTCTTCATGCTTTTCTTGGTCTTATCTAAAAATCCGGATTTACGAGGATTTACCATTTTACATCCACTATATTATCCTCTTAAGGTTCTCTTTTGATACTTTTTATACATAAGAGTTCTCTAGGTTTTTTGAATGTCCAGAATAAGACTCTCACTAGGATCTTGCTTCAAGCCTTAGTCTGTGGTCGCTTTCACTTCTGTGAGTTACTTCTAAAGAATTGGGGTGTGTTCTTCAAGTCTAGGATATCTGTATATCTCTGAGTAATAATAAGCATGTATTCTTCAATCTTTGTTGTGAGTTTCTGTCCAATAGCTCTTCTCTGTTCTTGCAGTTTCATTATGATAATGTTAGTCGTGAATTAGCATTGAGATCATCTTTGTGAGGAACTTGCTTAAGAGGATTCTCACCTTCTAGGGTACCTCAGCTCTGGTCCTCTCAGAGAGGTATTTTATGAACAAATTGTTGTTGATAAACTGATTTAAAGATCTTTGGTGTTACTCAAAAGACTGATGAGATTAGAGGATTCTTTTGTGTGCAATTTTTCTTATGAGAGGCCACCAAAGTTTAGATCTTTTCATAGGTTAGAGTGCTGAAGAGATGGTAATTTTCTTTATTGAATTCATAAACTTCTGCTCTACTGTAGTATAGAATCTAGTTCTAGGTTTATTGAGGATGTTGAGAATCATTATTGTTTAATCAGGGTTGACAGGACTATCCTAACATTGCTTGATGCCTCTTAGTTTTTGTATTGTGTATAAACATAATCTCACTTGTCTGCAATGATGTAGAAAGACTGTGGTAGTCGACTTAATCACATATTGAAACACTCATTGAAGTTTATTCTATTTAATAACAATTTTGAGGGGTTTTGGGGTTTTGGGGTTTTGGGG